AACCACAGCTTTGATTATGCGGATCTTTGTTTTCAAGGTGATGTCTCTGCTTTTTAATATGCTGTCTAGGTTTGCCGTAGCTTTCCTCCCAAGGACCAAGCGTCTTTTAATTTCATGGCTACAGTCTCCGTCTGCGGTGAACTTGGAGCCCAAATAAATGAAGTCTGTTACTGCTTCCATTTCTACCCCTTCTATTTGCCAGGAATTGATGATAAATGAAGTCTGTTACTGCTTCCATTTCTACCCCTTCTATTTGTCAGGAATTGATGGGTCCAGATGCCATGATCTTAGTTTTTTTAATGTTGAGTTTCAAGCCAGCTTTTGCACTCTCCTCTTTCACCCTCATCAAGAGGCTCTTTAGTTCTTCTTCACTTTCTGCCATTAGGGTGGTATCGTCTGCATATCTGAGGTTATTGATGATTCTCCCTGCAATCTTAATTCCAGCTTGTGATTTTTCCAGCCTGGCATTTGTCATGGTGTACTCTGCATATAAGTTAAATAAGCAGGGTGACAGTATACAGCCTTGTCGTACTCTTTGCCCTATTTTGAACCAGTCGGTTGTTCCGTGACCGGTTCTAACTGTTGCTTCTTGGCCCACATACAGATTTCTCAGGAGACAGGTAAGATTGTCTGGTACCCCCATCTCTTTAAGAATTTGCCACAGTTTGTTGTGATCCACACAATCGAAGGCTTTTGCATAGTCAATGAAGCGGAAGCGGATGTTTTTCTGGAACTCTCATACTTCCTCCAGTTTTTCTGATATTCTGTATTAGAGAGGGGAATCAAACCCTGCCCTTCATTAAAGTTTGTCCAGTTTTGAAATTCCATCTGAAGTGTTCGCAGGCATGAAGACTTTGCCAGCTTTATCTGTTTTGAAAAGTATGATCTGCATTGACTACTCCATATTTGGAGTATTCCATATTTGGGGGAAAGTGTGGTGACCAAAACTGGACTGCCTTTGTCCTCTGCAAATAAAGCACGGGAGCCATTGCCAATTCCTTGCTTCTGTTATATACTTTAAAAATGTCTAGTGCCCTATTCTTAAAACATAGGAAATATCCAGGCAAAATTAAAGTTGAATATCTAAAAATCTGTTTTGGGGGATAACAAAACCAGCAATATAATCAGTAAGCGGTTGTAGTTAAGTTTTCTGTTCTATAATTCTTATATAATTTCCCTCCCTCCCTCTCTGAGTTTCATTAAGGCTTAAGACTCTAATTCATAGTTCATAAAGCTATTTACTGAAGTTTATGTTGGGTGCTTAGAGAACAAAAGGTTTGCACTAAATCATGGCACTAGGTATTATCACTGTATGTTTTATAATTGGCTATACAGTAATATGGTCTTTTATTTATGGAATTATTTATACCCCATTTTCACAATAATACCCTCCCAAGTGACTTTAATGTAAAAAGTTTTAAATTAAAGTTTTTGTTTTTTGTTTTTAACTATTTAAAATCAGAAAAGCATATAGGACCCTTCCCACAGGATAGGTGATGGTAATATGCGTCAGGGAATACCTACAAAAAAATCCCCCCCCCCCGGTGGAAATAGTAAAATTTTGAAAATACAGGGAGTTTAAATAGATAAAATAGAAAGTACCACTCTCTTTTTTGCTGAGGAAAGGTTCATTATGTATCATCTGTTGTTATGCAGAGCCCGCAAAACCACCCATTTTACAGCTAGTGCTAGGCCTTTAATGATAGCTAGACTATGAAATGTATTTAAGAGTGCCAGCATCTTTTTCTGGGATTGATTAGTGTGAGGTTTATATACTTTCAACTACTTAATGTATATAAATGATTTAAATAGATTGGGACATTTTATTATTATTTACTTAACATATATTTTTAGGCTGCCTTTCTGGATTTCTTGTGCAACAAGTCAGTTTAAACAACACACAACAAATGTGCTCTCAAATTGAAATCAGACTTTAAACCACAGCATTGGTTCAATAGCTAAAGATTTTCTCAAGTGCAGTAAATTCAGCTGGAATAACTAAACACAGTTTAAAGTGTTCAGAATTGTTTTTTTAATGCTAGCAGTGATATTTCCCTGGGAAGAGACTTATAGAAAATGTGGGGCAAATATTAAGAGAAGCCTTCATAACAAATTCCCAAATTTGATGGTTTATTCCCAAAGAGTGCCTCTTTTGATTTTGATGCTTGAGAGACCAGTAAGTGAGATACAGATAACATGGAGCCAAAGGATTTAGGGCAGGGATTCCAGGATTATAAGTAGCCACTGAATTCTTTTGAGTTCCAGCCACAAATGCTGAAAATTAGCATTTTGAAGTGGAAAGTACATAAAAACTGTTGTGAAAGCCCTGAAATAGTTAAACATGGGTGGAAACTCTAACTCCCCACCCCCACCCCCAAAATAACAGCCATAGACATGATCCCAGTCCTATACAGGTAGTCCTCGCTTAACTATGGTAATTGGAACCAGAATTTCCATCCTAAGCAATGCAGTCATAAAGCACAATGTCACGTGACTATGCCACTTAACGATGGCAGTTCTGGTAGTTCCTGGTTACCATTGTTAAGCAGATCACCATGGATCGTTAGGCAAGGACCTCACGTGATTGTAGCTTCCAACGTCCTGCCAGCTTCCCCATTGACTTTGCTTGTGGGAAGCTGGCAGGGAAGGTTGCAAATTGTGATCACATGACCACAGGACGCTGCAACGGTCAAAAATCCAGGCTGGTTGCCGAGTACCTGGATTGCAGTCACGTGACTGCAACAGCCAGAACTT